TCACCAAAAAGAGTAAATCCAATGAATTGCAGTTGAATTCAAACACATCCGAAACCACTGTCGGACAGAACAGAGGATCAGATCTGCAAAATATGGATGTGTTAGTGATTCCCATCGGAAACACTCGGGAATGTCCGGGAATGTTGACCGAAGACAAAGTGCTGAAAGCCGAACAACAGAAGAGGTCCACAAAAGTGAGACTGAATTTGGATTTATTGTTGACACAAAATATTGAAGAGACGGAGAGTGTTGTCAGTGCCGTCAGCGGCAGTGAGAAGAGAACGCGATTTTCTTTATCTCAAGACCAGGAGTCGATCGGAACGAGTGATAACTTGGAGGCCATTTCCGAAGCGGCGTCTAATCATTCGGTGGAATCGTCTTTGGATTTAGAGAATGAAAACGACAACATGTCTGATATGGTGTCCGCGAATGTAAGCAGTGGTAGAGGAACACCAAATGTGAGCGGAAGGGATACCCCGTCCTCACACTCTCCCAATCAATCGAGTCCATCATCTGATGGCGACGAAGACGAACCAATGCCTGATCCAGAGGACGCACCCGTCAATATGGCGGTGCCTTTGCCTCCAACGAGTTCCGGTTCGAGGCGTTTGAACGCCATTCCTATTACACAACCCAATCGTCCCAACAATAGAGACGATATCGAGGATAAGTTCGGCAAATTCGACATAAAGCCCATTCCAGCCATCGATGAGACCAAGTCCTTACTGAGCGACACCTGGAGTACAGACGTGTTGGGCAGCGATTGCGAGGCTTTCGAGCAAATGGAGAACATTTCAAACTTACAAACTTCTGGCATGAATTTGTTGGTCTTTGGAGGACATCAAACACAACCCCTTCAGTCATTACTGGATGGCTCTGAAACTGCCAGTCAGAGCGACGCCTGGAGTACTGATGTGTTGACATCCGATACGGAAAGGTTGCAAGAGTTTGATCCCGAAGATAGTGCGAGTGTCACCCGATCTGAACCCGAAGAGGAGAACTTGAATGCGATTTACGAATACAATAATCTGATAGAAAGCCCTAAAAACGGAACTCTCAAACAGAGAGGCATTAAAATGAGTTCCAATTTCTCGCAAGAAATGAATGAAACGAATTCTAACGCAACTATAGTTCGCTCCAAGAGTTCGGTCGTTAACTCTAACATAAGTTCACTAAAACTCATGAATTTAAGCAAAAGTGAAACCGAAAGGAACTCTTTTGGAGAAACGAGTTTAGGTGAAGGAAGTGATCACTTCTCTGACAGTTTTGCGATGTCTTTATCGCCCACTCTATTGACACATAACATGCAATCTCTCGGAAGATTGAGTTTTGATGTGCGAAAGTTTGACGAAGACCTCACCTCTAGGTCTCTAATTAGCGACAATTTATTAACTAATTTGAAATCAAACGGCATTTCAAACAATGGCTCAAACATTGTCTCTGAATTGCTTTCCGTTGATTTGACTCCGAAGAGAGTCACAAAACAATTGAATCCCGAATTGTCCAACACTTTGATTGATTTTGAAATGGATGTGTCCTGTGATGGATCGCAAGGACAGCCAAATACTAGTTGTCTTACCAATGAATCCAATGAATTGTTGAATGAGATGCAAATTGAAGAGCAGATGAGTTCACATATAGAGCCAAAGGATTCTCAATTGGCTTCAAATTCCTACACAAACAGTGGTATTGAAAGTAACAAAAGTATTGCCAATAATGGCTCTAAACAGAGAACTATTGACGAATCAACCGGTGCTATACCTAAGACTCCTAAACCGATTATAAACACACGCTTTCATCAGTACGGCTCCAGTGATGACGATATGGCACGCCTTCCCTCTAATCGCAAGAGTTTTTTCAAACTCTCAAACTTTAAGTCAACGTTTAAAGAGAAGATGCGTTCACTTAAAGACAAAAAAGTCACACCGAATGACGATTCCTATGATTATGAATCGTCGCGAACTCAGCGGTTAACTATGGATTTCAATGAATCCAGAAATGAGTCTTCTGATGAGATTCTGGCTAAATATAGAGCAAAGGGTTCACAATTGAGCGCCAGTTGTGATGAGATTACACTGAAAGCCAATTCGACACCTGATTTGGTAAATGAGGACCAGAAGTGCGAATTAATGGACGAATCAGAGGTCTTGGAGATCACAAAACGCAAATTGAGACGAGTATTGAGTTCTATTGATTTGATCACAATTCCCGCTGTTATGAACGAAACGGTTTCAAATAACAGTAAAACTAAAGTCATTCAAATCATTCATATATTAAAGGTTTGTATATTTGGTTCACATTTGAAAACAACAAAAATATTAATTTGAATTGATTTGTAATTTTAGTTACTTTTGGCGGAAGCGATAAGTCTTCGGAATACAAGTCATTCGGTTTTATTACACGAAACGCTACGAAGTATTGAATCATTGGATGAAAACTCATTTCAAAAGATGTTTTGGTCGCTGAACGAGGACTACAAGAAGAGAAGTGTTTACACAACATATTTGACTCGATGTCGACAACAATTGCTGTCAACTCTGGCGTACTTCGAGAGTATTGTTCAACACATTGAACGCGAGAAAGCCGTTTGTTCTCATAATTTGATTTCAATTTCTGTGAAACAATTTTTGGAGCGAAAAGAGAGAAGCGTTCAGTTATTCATAAAGAAGTTCCAGTCGTTGA